AGAATATCAGAAAGATGTTTACCTGTGCTTTATTGACTATGCGAAGGCTTTTGATTGTGTGGATCATGACAAGGTATGGACAACGTTGCAAAGTATGAGTATTCCAGAACACTTATTTGTGCTCATGAGGAATCTGTACATGGACCAAGAAGCAGTTGTTCAAACAGAACATGGGAACACTGAATGGTTTAAAATTTTAAAAAGTATGAGACTAGGTTGTATTCTTTCACCATATTTATTCAACCTATATGCTGAGCAAATAATCTGAGAAGCTGGCTTAGATGAAGAAAAATGTGGCATCAGTGGTATTAACTGGGCTTACCTGTAGGCATCAGAATTGGAGGAAGACTCATTAACAACCTGCGATATGCAGATGATACAACCTTGCTTGCTGAAAGTGAAGAGGACTTAAAACATTTACGGATGAAGATTAAAGAGCACAGCCTTTGGTGTGGATTACATCTCAATATAAAGAAAACAAAAATCCTCACCACTGGACCAGTAAACAACATTTTTATCAATGGAGAAAAGATTGAAGTTGTGAAGGACTTCATTCTTCTTGGATCAACTATCAACACTCATGGAAGCAGCAGTCAAGAAATCAAAGGACTTATTGCATTAGGCAAATCTGCTGCGCAAGACCTTTTTAAAGTGCTGAAGAGCAAGGATGTCAGCTTGAGGACTAAGGTGCACCTGACCCAAGCCATGTATTTTCAATTACCTCATATGCATGCAAAAGCTGGACAGTGAATAAGAAAGACCATAGAAGAATTGATGTGTTAGAGGAGAATATTGAAAGTGCCGTGGGCTGCCAAAAGAACCAATAGATTCGTTTTGGAAGATATGCAGCCAGAGTGCTCCCTGGAGGCCAAGATGGCCAAACTTCATCTCTCATACTTTGGACATATTGTTAGGAGGGACCAGTCACTGGAGAAAGATACCACGTTTGGTAAGGTGTAGGGTCAGAGAAAAATAGGAAACCCCCCCAATGAGATGGATTGGCCAAGTGGCAGCATCGATGGACTCAAGCGTGGCAACAGTAGTGAGGTTGGCCTAGAAACGGGCAGTGTTTCGTTCTGCTGTGTATAAGGTCGCTATGGGTCGGTACCAACTCGATGGCACCTAACAACAAAAACATTGCAAAGAATGGGTATTTCCAAAACACTTTAATTGTGTTCATGATGAACCTGTAGACAAAGAGGCAGTTGTTTGAACAGTACAAGGAGATACTGAAAAGTTTTGAATCAGGAAATGAATAAGTCAGGATTGTATTTTCTCACCATACTTATTTAATCAGTATGCAGCAGAAAGAATCCAAGAAGCACAGCCAGAATGCTCCTTAGAAGTAAGTATGGCAAGAGTCAGTCTCTAATTCTTTGGACATGTAGTCAAGAAGAAACAGTTTCTGGAGAAGAACATCAAGCTTGGTAAAGTGGAGGGTCAGTAAAAAAGATCAAGACCCTCAAGGAGATGGCATGACACAGTGGCAACAACAATGGGCTCAAATTGAACAATTATGAAGATGGCATGGGACCAGGCAGTATTTTGTGCTGTTGTGCATCGGGTTGTTGAGTTGGAATGGACCCAATTCCACCTAACAACAATACATGGGCAATTATTGATAGATGCAGGAAGCATCAAAAGAAGATTGAAAGATTAAATAGGTCACGGTACCAAAAATAAATGGTCAATAATCAATCATTTCATGAGTTAGCATATGATCAAGAACAAATCGTATTGAAGGAAGAAATCCAAGCTCTACTGAAGACATTAGGGAAAAGCAAGGCTCCAGAATTGGATGTAATGCCAACTGAAATGTTTCCACAAACTAATGCAGTACTTTTGTTGTTGTTGTTATGTGCCATGGAGTCAGTTCTGACTCATAGCGACCCTGTACAGTATTTCCGAGGCTGTAAATCTTTATGGGAGCAGAACTCCTCATCTTTCTCCTGTGGAACAGCTGGTAGTTTCGAACTGCTGATCCTAAGGTTCACAGCCCGATTCGTAACCACTACGCTACCAGAGCTCCTTAATGCAGCACTAGAAGCACTCATTATTCTATGCCAAGAAATTCAGAAGACAGCTACCAAGCTAACCAATTGGAAGAGATCCATACTTGTGTCCATTCCAAAGAAAAGTGACCCCAAAATGTGGAAATTATAAACAATATCATCTCTATTATATGCAAGTAAAATTTTATTGATGATATTTCAAAAATGGTTGCAGCAGTACATCAACAGGGATCAGCCAAAAATTCAAGCTGAATTCAGAAGAGGACATGGAATGATAGATATCATTGCTGAAATTAGATGGTGCTTGGCTGAAGGCAGAGAATACCAGAAAGATATTGATTTGTTCTTTATTTACTGTGCAAAGGAATCTGACTGTGTGAATCATAACAACCTATGGATAACCTTGAGAAGCACTGGTACTGGAACACTTAATTTTACTTATGAGGAAACTGAATATACACCAAGAGGCAGTTGTTAGAAAAGAACAAGGGGGATATTGTATAACTGACAATCAGGAAAGGTATGTACCAAGATTGTATCCTTTCACCATACTTAATTAATCTGTATGCTAATTAACTGTCAGCAAAGCTAGACTATATGATGAAGAATGCAGCACTAGAATTAGAGGAGGACTCATTAACACTCTGCATTAAGTAGATTATACAACCTTGCTTACTGAAAGGACTGGAAGCACTTGCTGATGAAATATCAAAGAATACAGCCTTCAGTGTGGATTACAATGCAATGTAAATAAAACAAAAATCCTCACAACTGGACCAATAAACAACATAATGATATACAGAGGAAAGACTGAAGCTTCAGGATTTCATTTTACTTGGATTCACAATCAGTGCTAACGGAAGCAGCAATTAATAAACCAAACAAAGTATTGCACTCTGAAAATCTGATGTAAAATATCTCTTTAAAGTGTTAAAGAGCACAGATGTCCCTCTGAGGTCTAGGGTGCACCTGACCCAAGGTATTTTCAATTGCCGCATATGCATGTGAAAACTGGACAACAAAAACATAAGAGTGAAGATGGGTTCATGCATTTGAATTATGGTGTTGGTGAAGAATATTGAAAATAAAATTGACTGCTATAAGAACAAACAAATCTGTATTGGAAGAAATATAGCCAGAATTCAACTTAGAATCATGTACGGCAAGACTCCAACTCTCATACTTAGACATGTTACTAGAAGGTATCACTCCCTGAAGAAGGACATCATGCTTGTTATAGTGGAGGGTCAGAAGAAAAATAGAAAGACCCTCAATGAGATAGACTGACACAGGGTCAGCTACAATGGGCTCAAATATAACAACATTGTTGAACCTGGTACAGGAATGGGCAGTGTTTCATTCTACTGTACACAGATTCACCCTGAGTCACTGTACACAGGCTAACTTGAGACACCGATCAACAGCATTAACATTAACACTTGCCTTCTCCACCTTCATTATTATAAACATAAGCATCCTTACCAATGTGTCTGTGTGTATTTGTCCTTTCAATAAGCAGAGTTCCTGGATCTAAAATTGAGCCAATTTTAAAGGGTTTTGCTACATATTCCCAAATTATTAGAGTTGTGCCAATTTCTACACCCACTGTGGCCAATGAGTATTAACATTCATTTTAAGTCACTGCCAATTGGATAGACAAAAGCAAGTTAATCCTGCTGTTTTTCCTTGTCAGTATGGTTGAATAGGTTTTCATATATTTAGTAGACTTTTTTTTTTAATGTATGTCATTTTGGTTATACTATTTCTAGGTGGTCTTTGACCTTGTGTTTTACAAACTGTCTCTTGACCTTGTCTTTTACAAACTGTCTCTATACATTTATGCTGTATCACATATAGTTTTCCTGATTTGTCAAATGACTTTTCCAGGGCCCTACCAGCATATTTACATAACTTTATAGTACCCTTGGAGTCTTGGTGTGGCATTGTAAGATAAGCACTAGACTGCTAACAGCAAGGCCGGCAGTTCAAACCTACCAGCTGCTTCTCAGAAACCCTCTACAGGGTTACTATGAGTCAAAACAAACTCTGAAGCACTTAACAAAAACAGCAAAAACATAAGGTTTATATGTATGCAAAAGCTAGGCAATGAATAAGAAAGACTAAAGAAGAGTTGATGCATTTGAATTGTGATGCTGGTGAAGAATATTGACTATACCATGAGCTGCCAGAAGAACAAACAAATCTGTTTTGGAAGAAGTATAGCCAGAATGTTCCTTAGAAGTGAGGATGGCGAGACTTCATGTCAAGTACTTTGGACACGTTATCAGGAGGGAACAGTCCTTGGAGAAGGACATCATAATTGGTGAAGTAGAGGGTCAGTGAAAAAGAGGAAAACTTTCAGTGAGATGTACTGACATGGTACCTACAACATTGGGCTCAACCATAGCACCAATTTTCAGGATTGTATAGGATTAGTCATTGTTTTGTTTTATTTAAAATCAGCCTGAAACTGAAGGATATATACGGTTATACATGGGATCACTATGAGTTATAACTGACTCCACGGTGCCCAACAATAATAGGGTTCCTGTGTTTTTCTTTATGCAGACTTTTTAAAACACTTAATTTTTTAAAACTAAGTAGAAAAAAGAACAAAAACTGTAATAATGATGATAGCATTAATATAAGCTAAATTAGAATATTTTAGAAAACATTTCAGAATGTATAACAAAAACGCTAACAATAATAACTGTAAGACAAAAGTGCTGTACAAGCTCACTAAACATTTGTCTTTCCAAGATTCATTGCAACAAATCCTGGCAATGTAATTTACATACTTAACATTTGAGTTATTTGGTCTGCTTTTCTCCGTGCCCCTACTGCAAGCATAAGATTAATATTCTCACTGCGAGTCCTGTGGGAAACTTCCAGGATATAATATACAATTGCATAATTTCACAAGACAACCTATTAGGATGCAGAATGTGGAATGTCACACTGGGGCTTTGAATTTTTAAAACTTCTTACCCTCTCCAAGGTAATTTCTTCAAATTCATATTCAATTTCTGTCCCATTGACCTGAAAATTAGAGAAAAGAGAACCATTAAACATATGAGGGGCATCAGATTCATTCTTTTAAAGGATTGGAGGTTAAGTTTTCATTCTGTCTATTAATAAGGCACACTTTCTTGATGTTTATGTGTGCATCAAAATAAAATATAATCCAACCCTTAAGAGATAAGGAGTTATAATTTCCATTAGAAATGGATGATTAAGAGTACACAAAATATGCATGAAGAGTCTACAAAGAACAAGGCATAGTGGGACCCTCTTAAACGGTTACAAGAAAAACAACTATCAGACATTAAAAAAAATTATATATATATATATATATATATATATACATATACATATACATATACATATCGCTTACGAATCGGGCTGTGAACCGCAAGTTCAGCAGTTAGAAGCTACCAGCGGTTCCGCGGGAGAAAGATGAGGCGTTCTGCTCCCGTAAAAATTTACAGCCTCGGAAACCCTGTGCAGGGTCTCTATGAGTCGGAACCAACTCCACGGCACTTAACAACAACAACAACAATATATATATATAATGAATACTAGACTAAGACCTTAAAAAGTCCGTGGTAAGATCAGCATGACCCTTGTAATAAATAATAATAATAAAAATTACCAACAAGTAGCATCAAGAACGACTATGCCTATTAAGAAATGTGTTTTCTTTATTGGCTTAGCCTCAGGAAATACATCCGTCCTATCCTCTTATATTTGTTGGGAAGCTCTGGACCATGTAACCATGCTGCTGTATTTCAGGTGCAATAAAAGAGTAAAGTAGGGCTTGTTGAAATACCTAGTGGGTATATAACCAGTTTAACTATCCAACCAAATTCTTGAACTGAGTAGCACTTACAGACACATACACATTTTAAATATAGTAAGGTAACTCATTAACATATGCCTTAAATTCCAAAAGGATGTACAGAGTAAAAAGTTTTAAGCTAATTTAACAAATATTCAAACACTATCTTCATTTATCATAGAGAATTTTTTAGGGAGGCAAAATCTCTTGGCAAGAAATTTCTGAAATTGCTTTTTTTTTCTTTTTTCTGTTTTGTGTCTCAGCAACATCATTGGCATTTGAAGTTAAGACAGAACAACTCATTTAAAACTACAAAATTAATTTCTTCAGGGTTCTAACTTTAATTTGAAGAATATAGTTAGAATGTGCCTTAGAAGCCAGAATGGTGAGACTTGGTCTTTTATACTTTCAACACGTTATCAGGAAGATCCAGTTCCTGGAGAAGGGATTCACGCTTGGTAAAGTGGAGGGTCAGTGACAAAGTGGAAGACCCCCAACGAGAAGGATTACTACAGTGGTAGCAGCAAAAGGCTCAAGCATAACCATTATGAAGATGGCACAGAATCGGACAATCTTTTATGCTATTGTGCATATTGTCCCTACGAGTCAGAATCATTTTGAGGACACCTAACAACAACAACATATCAAGAATGGAGCGTGGTGTCTCTAGAGTATAAGCACAGTACTGTGAACCTCAGGATCAGCAGTTTGAGTCCACCAGATGCTCCACAGGAGAAAGATGAGGCTTTCTGTTACCACTGAGTTGCAGTTTAGGAAACCCTGTTCAGGGTCGCTATGAGTTGAAACTGGCTGAATGGCATTTAACAACAACTTCATTTGGGGAAAATAGTGGCTCTGTAGGATTTGCACTGGACTGCTAACCACAAGGCTGGTAGTTCAAGTCCTCCCGCTGATCCGTGGGAGAAAGATGAGGCTTTCTGTTCTACAACGAGATGTTAAGTGCATATGAGTCACCGCCTAGGAAACCCTATTCATGCTCGCTATGAGTTGGAACCTACTCAACAGCACTTAACAACAACAACTTCATTTTACTTTTCCCTCTGTAGAAGAATGTGAACCCAGTGTTATTCAATGGAAAACTTTATGGAAGCATGCACTAAATAGTGCTCTTGCCGAACATAAAGTCTGGCAAGAAAGAGATAATAAGGAGAGAGGGGTGAATGATTGATTGTGTTAAGTAATTAATTTATTTATATGACTTACAACCATAGATATTTGTAAATTTTCTTCCATTAGGAATTGGATTTAGTATCAAAATGAAAACATCATTATAGTTATACTGAGCAAAAGTAATGTTAAGTAACATAAACCATGAAATAGCTGCTAGTTCCCAAGTAATGACAATGACAATACAGACTTATAGGTGTCTACCAGCCACTAAAGACGGTATTTTTTCTGTGCTAATCACATGAGCTAATTGGGAAATCACATTTTACTCTGTTACTACATTATCAAACAGCCCATAACTAAATTTGATTTTATGGGCTTCAGCAATTTGATGATTCATATACGAGGATTTGGTGATGTTAGAAATCTTTTTGCAGCTTTACAGAGGTTTTCGTTCTAACTACATAAAACTAAACACAAAACTCAAAGTCCTTGTGTTTATGTGTTTCTGTTATCTTTTTTAAAATAAAAAAAAAAGCTAACTTTAGTTGTGAGAAATGATAGAAAGGGAAGGCTGAATTAATGAAACCTGTTTTCCTTCTTTCAGCATGGCACCGTGTAACCCTTCTAGCTTCAGTGTTTCTCTAGAGCAAAGCCCTTCATATCACGAAAGTGCTGCAGTTTGAGGAGGGAAAATGAAAGAAAGGAAAAAATCTCCAAGTGAGGAAAATGAGCTCCTGATGATAAATATCTTAGATAATTATTCTACGAAATGTTTAAAATATAAGAATATTGGAGTTTAGTAAAGGCATTTGAGAGGTCTCTGGTAGTGTAGTGGTTACGAATCGGGCTGTGAACCTTAAGGTCAGCAGTTCGAAACTACCAGCTGCTCCGCGGGAGAAAGATGAGGCTTTCTGCTCCCGTAAAGATTTACAGCCTCGGAAACCCTGTACAGGGTCGCCATGAGTCGGAACTGACTCCACGGCACATAACAACAACAACAACAACTTGGTTATGAAAAGGAGCTCTGGTAGCATAGTGGTTACGAATCAGGCTGCGAACCGCAAGGTCAGTAGTTCGAAACTACCAGCTGTTCTGTGGGAGAAATATAAGGCTTTCTGCTCCCGTGAAGATTTACAGCTTCGGAAACCCTGTACAGGGTCGCTATGAGTCGGAACCGACTCCACGGCACACAACAACAACAACTTGGTTACAAATCAGGCTGCTAATCTCAATGTCAGCAGTTCGAAATGACCAGCTGTTCCGCGGGAGAAAGATGAGACTTTCTGCTCCCATAAAGATTTACAGCCTCGGAAACCCTGTGCAGGGTCACTATGAGTCGGAACCGACTCCACGGTACTTAACAACAACAACAACTGACACAGTTCTGGCATGGCACTGTAGGATACGCACTGGACTGCTTACTGAAAGGTCAGGGGTTCAAATCCATCAGTCGTTCCTGAGAAACCCTGTACAAGGTCCCTATGAATTGGAGCCGACTTGACAATACTTAACAACTACAACTACAACAGGTCACAGTGGTTAAAGCACTCAGCTTCTAATTGAAAGGTTACCAGTTCAAACTCTGCGGGTCAGTTCTAATCTGTCCTATAAGATCACTACGAGTTGAAATTGACTAGACAGGCAACAGGCTTGATGTTTGTTTCTAGTGCCTATTTTCTATAATAGTCTATATTGTATCTAACGGCCTCTAAGGCAAGACATCCTACCTACAATCTCCTTTGGAAAGGATTTAAAACTTAGAGTACCTTCATTTTACTAAAAAAGAAGATTGTTTACTGAGTGGTGAGAACTAGTAATTCACTACTGCCATAATTTTGTGTATCCCTGTCAACAAAAACAAAAGTTATGTTAAGAGTTCCCAGCATCTTCTGAAGTGTTGACAGGCAATACATTGTTGTCTGAACTTGCCTCGATGTTCTCTGTCTACCCCCAATCACTTTATCAAAATATGTCTGTCAGCTCACAAAGGTGCCCTCCTGAAAAGTCTGACTAACACATTACTATTTTTAAAAAAATTTTATTATGAACTCTTCCTGTGATATTGAAGCATCCTGGTAATAGTTCATGCTCCTGGTGGCTTAGAATTGGGAGAGTTGCATGACTGACGTTCTCCTTAAGCCAGTTCTGGCCCTGAACCTGATTTAAGCTTCCTCTCCACCTTGATGACTAGTAAAGGGAGAAAACTGTCATTTTTATAGATATGGAGGGTTGATAAGGTAGACTGAATTTCCCAGATTAAAAGAAAAAAATCTGTTTTTCTCTTCCTACTTGATTTTTTGGAACCTAATGGCTCTATGGTGACAGCTGGTAGGTTTCTATGGTGGCCAGAAAATCAAATTGATGTCACACATTGTACTGCTCTGTTCTGGGCATGTAGCCTTCCTGGTATCATATGGCAGTTTAGTCAAGAGAATGACCCAATGCCCACTCAAATTCAAACTGGAGATTTTAAATTCTAATTTCATAGATTTGGAATGTTTTACATATTTTATTCTTTCAAACAATCTTTAGTTAATTTCACTGACTTTTTCCTCCATCAGTGCTACAGTACCCACCTATCTAGATGATGATATAATTTTATCTTAAGATGTATTTCTATCTCCTAAAACGGAATTTTTCATGAATAACTCATGTGATCCATGCTTAAATGTACTTTAATTGGAATCTTAATAATTTCTCTGAATTTCTGTTGGCTCTTTTTGGTGACATTTGTAATTTCATTAAAGAAAAAACATATTAAACACTGAGATGATTAAACTGTAAACATCCCTGACAGCATGTCTTATAAAAAGGACTGAAATTGGGGTCTCAAAACATTGCTTTCTTTAGACTAAACACAATTCAACTCAATAAACAATAATTAAGCATGCATGACATCCCCAAAAACTGCGATAGTTGTTAAGAAAATAAAGAATGTAAGATATGATCTCTATTCTCAAGAAAATTGTAGGCCTTAAAAAGGCACCAAATACAATAACAATAAAGCCTCCATAGAAATGCAATATCCACTTTATGAAATGTAGGGGTGGAAAAGAGTCACAGTTCCACT